CAACATATAACCCAACTATATATTTTTATAGTACCTTCCCAACTATGGGTTATTTTAACCCAGTGTATTGGGTTATATAATTTAACCCAATGCATAAGGTTATTCTGATTAAATGTAATTTTTAACATTCTGGTATTACTGTTGCTACAATTACTAGTACCACTATTAGTTTTATAATTATGATTGTGTAAATAAATAACATGCCGTATTCAAAAATATTGAAAATGCTTTTTTTCGTTACATTTTAGTTACAGACATGTTTGTTAAAATAAATCAAGAATCACAAACAATGAAGAAACAAAACAAACTACAGACAGTTACAAACTGTACAAGCAGAAAATCATGTGTTGATGGAGCAGAATATGTGGGCTGTAGAGACTGTCCAGCAGCTGCAGCAGGCTTGACTCAGCGTCCACAATGTACAATGCATTTTAACCACATCCAACCAAAAAGATGGTCTTGGATTGTAAAACAGATATAAAAACATGACACAGAGAGGTAATTTGCTAATAATAATAATAATAATAATAATAATTAAAAAAAATATTATTGCGTTATAGCTTAAATAAACTTTATAATGCAAAAACAACATCATGAACGCATATTAATACAGCTGTTTTGTGTCAGTTAAATCAGCTGACTGTTGAAATTCAAATTTTTTACTTAACTGGTGGAGTTATTAAATTGATAACCAAATAAAGGTAAAACAATAATCCACCAAAGCACCAAATATTTTACTCAATTAGTTGAGTTATTAATAAAAAAACCTAATAAAAGTAAAAAAAAAAAAAAAAAACCCTCAACTCAACCATTGGGTTAAATAAATAACTCAATGTCGTTTAGAGTGTAGTCAAACTAATGAAAATGCTTTCTGTTTTTCTATTTTAATGTAATTTCTTAAATTGCTGCAGATTCTAACACACGGGACAAAAACAGTAGAGCATAGTGGGCAGCTTTAAAATGCTAAGTTTTAATCTGTATTACATTTCTGATGCAATCTCTACCTTTTCATTATTAACCCACATAAGAAGACCGTCTGAACGTTCAATTGTGATCTATAATACTACTATTCAACACCATACAGTTGTTAATAAAAGTTCAGCATATTCCAAATAATGTAGATATCACTTACGTTTACAGTTACATGATTTAAAAGTACAATGTGAGCCTGCGGCTGCTTCTCTTATATGAAACAGTGCTGGAGGAAAGAATGAAAGAGCTCTCAGTGGCTTGACCTTACACTGGCCTTCTCCTCCATCATCTGAGTCACACACACACACACACATAAATACTGAAATGCAATACATCCAATATAACAATAACAAGCATCTAAAAAAACACCAGTACTTTAAACACCAGTACAGCAGATGCAGATCTGACAACTTGTCTGTGAGTAGCTCTGCGGCGCTGAGGACACATTTAATCAAATGAGGATTCCTCTCACATGTCGCACATAATCACCGGCTAATTGTTTATTACTCGTGCTAAGTAAAAGGTTATCTCTCCAGCATGCGGCAGACAGGGGAATATGGCAACACATCGCATGTGACAGAACAGCATTGATAAACAACAGCCCGAGTGCGTGTGCATACCTTGTACTCCTTATGTTGGGGATCAAATTTCCCCCCAAATATAGCAATACCAGCACATTCTGACCACGTGGGAACAGTTTTTTTTTTGGTCCACAAGAGGAAGATTACTCAAAAATCACACAAAATGTGGTATTTTGAAAATGTAAAATGTGATTGTTTCCTGTGAGGGTTGAGTTAAGGGGAAGGGGGATAGGTTAAACGCTTTGTCCAGTATAAGAATTATTATGTATATAGGAAGTACCCATGAAGATGATACATGAATGTGTGTGCATTAATGTGCATGTGCACATATATTACATCAAAACGCATTTCAGTGCAAATTACAAATGCTTGCTTATCAGATATACAGTATTTTATTAAAGAACAAAATACTGGTGTGGGAAATGTAGCTCAGTAAAATACAAGTAACTTATAATTTGAAAAAATAAAATAAATACAAGATGAATACAAGACGAGGATATCAAATGAGTACACCCCTTTAAAAATTAGAAGATAAATAAAGATTTTTTTTACCCATTTCCTATTGAATACGGAGAATATATTGTATGCATTTTATTATACTTATTATATACTTCTACATTTTTGCAATGCATATTTTTTAAACAGTCATAATCTGTAACATACTGTACGAGTGTGATCATCTAATATCTTTAGGATAATAATACATATGATTTCAAATGAGGTGGTACAAAACAAATAAACTAAATCAGGGGTGGTCAAACTTTTTCAGACGAAGGGCCAAAAACCAAATATTATTGATAGCCGTGGGCCCAAGATAAATTTACCAAACCATTTGCCATGCGTGATTTGCCTAATTCATTTCATAATATAACAAAATAAATAGAAAACATTACTTTGAATCATATTAACTAATGCAGTATAACTTTTTTCATTAGAACGTATTGTAATAAAAAACATAAACAATTCCATTTAAAACAGTGTTCAAAAAACAATTCAATGATGAAAACACTAGTCAAGTAGAATCTGCCTCTGCCTTTGCCTCACTACGTCGTATATTTTAATCTAAATCTGATTAATTTTTATCATTTACATTGAAATATTTAATTTCAGATGGCTTTTTTGTAGCTTAACAATAAAAGAAAAAAATATAAGGTTACATTAAATTTGAAATGAAAATCTTTAAACCATTCTCAGATGACATGGCTGGCCAAATCAAAGGTTACCATGGGCCAGCTTTGGCCCATGTGGCCCTAGTTTGGGCATTTATGAACTAAATTATGCACTGTTTTTTGTGTGGCTGTATTGATTTTTCCTGTTAATGACAGTTTTGTTTTAGGTTAAATTTTGAGATTTTCACAAGTATCTCATTGTATAGCATTCCATATTATTAATTTAAAAGAGTGATGTGTGTTTTTCTAAGAAATCGTCTGTGGTGTATTTATGCTTGTAATTGTTTAAGGAGATGCAGTAAAACACCATTTCTTTTCATTAGTAAAATGTAATACACTGTAAAAAAAAATGCAGGGTTCCATACAATTCATTCATGTTGACCCAATAGAAATCGATTAAATTAACTTAACACTTTTTACAAACTTATGTGGATTGAACATAAAAAAAAAGTTGGTCCTATAAAATCTCAAGAATTGTGTTGTTTCAGCTCATTTTAAACAGGTAGTTTGAACAACCAAACATAAATATATTTTTGAGTGTATTAATACCCATAAATGCACAAAAGACATAAATGAAGCTGCAGTGACTTTAGGATGTATGCACAGATCTAATTTAATAATTCTTGTTTGTTTTCTCCCTTCTGTTTATGTTTACTTGAGACAAAATTGACTGCATGTATGTGAATATTAGCCAAGACATGCTAATTGTGATCTAACATTTTAGTTATTTTTTTAAATGATTGTTTCTTTATTAATCCAATCTGTCAAAAATGATACACTGTCATAGCATTCTCAAAAGAGCATGGTTCTTTTGTTGAAAGCAATAACAATTAATTGCTAAAAAAGCAGAAATGTAAATAACAGCTCATTTAAGCTAGCTAACAATGGCTAGCATTGTCACTGATCAACCAGTGAGCAGATTCACAAGTTCTAGTGCAGCTGTGTTATCCATGTTTTAACATAATTATATGCATGGAATAAACCATTCAGAACATGCTGGTCACAAATAGGTTAATTGAGGAATAGATTATTTAACTACGTACCTCACCCTGAGTTAATTACAATCGGTGTACTTAACACACTGTCATCTTCCTTGCTTGTTTCTAGCTCAGAACAATATATTTGGTAAGCTTTTAAGCCTGGCATTTAAGGTTTTTGTTTTATTTGAGAGTAAAATGACATGAAGTATTTTAAATACAAAATACAAATATTAGTATTGCATCTGTTTATTTGTTTAGTCCAGGAAAATACAAATGGCAAACTACTCAAAATATGCATTTACTTAACACATATCTGTGTGTGCGTGTGTTTCTACAGGACAGTTTAGATTAGTAGTGAGATTCGTGCATGAGAGGGCGGCGCACAAAGACTTTAATATCGCACACGACCGTATGTCATGAAATAATCTCCTCTTCATTGTAATCTGGAAGTATGATTTGTAGAGGCAGAATTTAATGGTTTGTGAGCGGGTGAAGGGAGCAAATATGCTTTTTATTAAATACGAAATACATTTTACTTTGAGTAGTTGGCTTATTGCACATCTGAACAGGAGAATTCATTTATTCCTGCTATCTTTGTGGGAGAATCTGCTACATAAATCACTACAGAGGACTGCAGTTACAATGACTAACAATAGAAATGTCTCTCTTCCTCTAATAGGCACTGCTGCAATAGCTGAAAGTGTGTCCTTGCTCAAACCAGCCTCTGTTCTGCTGAACGACAACAACCTCCAACATCTGTGACACAATAATAAAGGCAAATCTTGTGCCTGTAATGATTTGGCAGAAATAGCATTTCATGTAATGCAAAAGGAAGTTTGGTGTAATAATTTCAGATTAAATTCGTTCAACACAGCCACAACAATCATCCGTGTATGGAAATCACAAGGTTTACTTGAAATCTTGCTTTTGGGCAGCACAAGGAGAGGTCAGAGGTCTGAACAACAACGGCACAGGAAAATTGAAAATAGGAAAATACCCCAAACATCTGTTCATCCAGGATGTGATATGACATATTATGGATTCAAAAATAATGCAAACAAAGATTAAATATGCATCCAAAGCAGCCATAGACGAACAGAATGCTATAAATATACCAGACACTACAGGTCCAGTTTCAGTATTTAAAGTCATACATTTTAATAATCTATAAACAATCGTCTATTGACTCATTTTCCTATTTAAGTATTGTAGAAGTAGCAAGTAAAAATAAACATTATTTTATATATTATAATATAAATAGTATTAAGATTATCACAAAATATGAGAGGAAAGCCTACCTTTTTAATCTGATGCTGAACTCTTGAGTCCGTGAAGTCTGTTTGTGTGTGTCTCCCAGCGCTCCTGAACTGAGTGAAGCAAAGCAGAGGAATCCCACACTGAACTTCAGCACCACTACATATTCTCCATATCAGTCTATTTTTTTTCTAGTGTAGAGATAGAGAGATGGAATGATGTTAGACTGAAAGAGTTCACTTGAAGCCGTTTGAAAAGTGACAGCTCTTGTCTTCCAAGTTGAGTGTTGTAGTAAAGCAAGCTGGAGACACACTGCTGAAGCTGATGCTTACACTTTATTCTCTCTCTCTCCCTCTCTCTCTGCCTGTCTCTCTCACTTCACACTTCTCTGATGGAGTCAGTAGTTGCTCTTTTAATCCTGTTTATGCTGGGTATTTATACCAGCAGTGCTCTTCTAAGTCCCCCTGGCGAGACTTCTTAAAGTACAGCAGTGAAGCGGCACCTTACATCTTCCTCTCCTCTTCTCTCTCCACATCTCTCTTTTCCTCATCTACTGTCTTTTTGCGCTCCACTCCACCCCCCACGCTTCTCCCTCTCTCCTGCTCTTGTCGGTAGAGCATCAGTGTTTCACAGGGTCCTAAAGCCTGATGGTCTTTGGTGGCGTGTTTGTAGGTACAGTGCATTCATGCTACTGGAAACACATCAGTGTGTCTCCTCTCTATCTCTCTCTCTCTCTCTCATGCACTATGTTATTTTCTATTTTCTTTACCTTGGGAGGAAGCGTCAGAGCAGTTGGCAGGTTGGCATGAGGTTGCCTGGAGGAGCATCGTTCCTGCTGATAATAAAGCCACAGTGGTTCTCGTTTCTAGTCCTCACGGCCACAGCTCTGCACATTTTGTATTTTTCTCCTATCTTCAGATGTTTGTTCTACTGTAATTCAACCTTAAATAGCTCTGTAAATGAATGCAACTACATCGTGATTCCATGTCGAGGAGAATGCAGTATTATTTAAATGGCCTTTTAGTGTGGAATATATGAATTTAAATGTGTAATTGTTTACATATTCTACTGCTATATTATGTGACAATTTACAGTCTCTATTAAGTGTCATCAAAGATTGTAATTGAGAAGCAATTATATATGGCTTGTTTCTGCTAAGCAGAACCAGTGCTTAATTCGAGCCGGATCCTGTTCTTGGAAGTGTCAGATGTTTGTGTATTTTGGCATTAATTTTGCCTGGTGAATACCTGGATGTGTATATGTGAGAGATAGAATGTTGATGAGTCAGAGTGAAAAACAGCAAGCAAAGCTGTGTGGATTGTGTGCGTGCACACACACATAAAGATAGTCTCGTTCGACCAATCAGCTTTCTTACGTTTTCAATCACTGTCATTGTTGGTGATTATTGTTTTGTGGACAGTGAGCAGTGAAAATAAATAATTGCATGGTGGCCTACATAATTAATATTTGTATATTCAATACGCCAGAGGCAGTCAAGCATATATTATTTTTTTAAACCATGCGTAAATCTGATAATGAGCCTGATTAAAAGAGATCTTGAGAAGATGAAACTGCGCAAATGGATCAGAATAGCAGGTGACAGAAGCAAAGTGATATCAAGTCAGCCTGAAAACATGGCTGAAGAGGTAACTGTGGGCTCTTCTTAAAGATTAGCAGAGGCTGCGTCCGAAACCGCATACTTCCACACTATATAGTATGCTAAAATCATTATGCGAGGTGAGCAGTATGTCCAAATTCATAGAATTTGAAAGTCAGTGGGCTCTATTTTGACGGTCCATGGGCAGAGCGCAAAACGCAGGACGCAAACGCTTTCAGGGTGTGTCAGAGCGTGTTTTTGCTAATTTAAGGACCAGAAAACCTGCTTAGCGCCATGGCGCATGGTCTAAAAGGGTTGAGTTTATTTTCTTAATGGGTTATAGATGTGTTTTGAGAATAAACCAATTGGAGTCTCATTTCCCATTCCCTTTAAGACCCAGCTGCATCGTGCCAAGAGCGCATTTGCTATTTACAGGACGCAAAGTAAGTCTAAGTGGAAAAAATGAGCATTTCACTAGCAAACAGTTAACAGTTAACAGTTTTTTTTTAACAGAAAACTGTTAAACAGAGCATCTACTGCGTGAGAGTGAGAGATAATGGAACTACTTTCACATTCGCTCTTGGATAGGGAAACCTTTACGCACAGATATCAATTAGTCTATAAATGAATAATTTTGTTTGTTAAGCGCAAATATTTGTTTCAAAACTATTTCTAAATTCAGTTATAATTTCCAGCAAACGAATAAATGAACAATAATAACAAAATGTGCTCAAAAACCTGAGTTTTATCCTAAAACACATGCTGTGCCCCTTATGGTCTAAAACCTGACAGGTGGGCAAATCTAAACTTATTTTTAATAAAACAAATATAAATATGGATATAATAAATAATACTGCTAATAATAATAACATTATACAAAAGTGAACTGAAAAAGCCTCCCGAGATGAAGAAGACGTAAAAGCAGTGATTTTTCATATTTATGTAGGCTCGAAAATAATATGTTTTGTAATATTTTAATCCTTTATATTTATATCCTATATCTATTCTTATTATATCCTATATATATATCCTTAATGTTTAAATTTTTTCATATGTAAAGATATTTGCCTATTGCTCTCTTGTGCGTATTAAGTAGTGCATAAGCGAGGCGAAACTCTGTGCCGATAGGGCCCAGTATGTGTGAAGTACCCGGATGACTTACTACTTTTGGTGCGATTCTGAAGTGCGCATCCCATGCACGCTGCACTATCCCATAATGCCCCACAAGAGAATTCATGAATGAGAGTGGAACGGCTCAACTGAGGCAGATAGGTCACGTGACTATGACAAAATGGAAGATGTAGTACGTCCGAATTCCATTCATACTTTTCACATTCATACTGTATAGAACATACTTTTCTAATGGAGTGGTACGTTTAAATTCAAATGCAGTACCTACTGAGTAGTAGGCAGTTTCGGACGCTGCCAGAGTGAGTAATTGTCGCTTGGCACATAATAGTGAAGTGAATTAAATGTCAGTGGTGTTAGTAAACTGAAAATTGATGTTTCATACGATTTGTGTTTGTAGCTACATGTTTGTTTGTTTGTTTTTTAGCCATTGTTGACCCATAATGTTATATTACACAAAATAATTAAAGAGAATTCAGACATTTGCTATATATATTGTTTTTGTATTAACCGCTTACTAAAGTTATGTTCTGGGAAAACTGAAATTGTGTGGTGAACGTCGGTCACGGTAACTTTTATTTCCTGGTTTTGTTCCAGAAATTATCCATTTACAAATTAAGCACTGACCAAAACGTTTCAGTACAAGAAAGTAGGCTATGGGACACATTCATGTCCATTTTCAATGTCAGAAAATCCAAAAGAGCAAACTATACCGAAGCAGTTTTTTGGGATGCTTTTTTAAGGGTATGGACCTAGACCAGGCATAAACTCTGTCCTGCAGAGTTTTGCTTTAACACTAAGCAAAAACAACCTGAACATGCTATTCAGTTTCTTCAAGATCACTAGAAATCTACAGGCAGGTGTGTTTGATTAGGTTTGGAGCTAAACTCCTGCAGGACTCCGACCCTCCTCATCCCTGAGCTACACTAACTGCTGAACACTAATTGGTTTACAGAGAATCGTCACTTGCACCTGCAACAAATCAGCAAAGTGACAACATAGTAAGCGGCATTTTTAAATATACAGCCAAAACAAGACACTGGCTGTGTCTGAAACCACCTACTACTCAGTAGGTACTGCAATTGAATTTAAATGTACTCAGCTGTTAGAAAATTAAGCTCATACAGTATGAATGTGAGCAGTGTGAATAGAACCTGGGCGTACTACATCCGCCATTTTGTCATGATCACGTGACCTACCTGCATGAGTTGTGTTGCTTCACTCCCATTCATGAATTTTCTCGTGGGGCATCATGGGATAGCGTAGCTTGCATCTGATTTACACTTCAAAATCTCATCAGGGTACTTATTTTTGAATTCTATGAATTCAGACATACTACTTGGCTCGCTTACTGATTTTAGTGTACATATATAGTATGGAAGTATGCAATTTCATATGCAGTAACTGAGTTCAAACAAAGCTTGTTGTCTTCTTGTGACAAACAGCTGCGTGCCGAGAAGAAAGAACAGGATCTGCTGTATGTCCTGCATCGCTGTTTATAGTGTTGTTCACTTGTCGCGTTTAAAGCTGTGGTCACACTAGAGTTTGATAATGCGAAATTCTGCCGTACAGCGCTGCAAAAACAGGTGGGAATAAACAAGATTGTTAGGCATCAAAAAAGCGAGTAATTGCTCCATGTTTTAAATTTCTGTCTAGAGAGTTCATGTTTTGATCCTCGATTGGTCTCATGCAGTCAAGTGATGGGATTTTGCAGGTCACAGTTCACCAAGCTTGAACTTTGCACCACAGCAACCTGCAAAACTTGATGCCTGCGTTTCCGGTCTGACGCATTCGCGTGCGTATGAATGGAAGTCTATGGGGAGAAAAGTCAAGTGTGACCGCAGCTTACAACTTGGAGAGTAGGAAGGGTGCTTCTTCTAAACTCTATTTGTGTGTGCTTTTGAAATGAGCAACTTGAGTATGCAAAAAATATCATTTGTAAATGGTTTGTATAGCTTCCTTTTTCGAGCTTAAATGACGTTGATCTCTTCACTCCTGCGCACACTATGTCTACCAAGTAAGGGTACTGTTGGCAGAGGAAATAAAAGCTTGACCAAGGTGACATACATTTTAATGTGGAGATGAAACTGTATTATTTTTTAATGTGGTGTATTTATGAGTTAGTGCCCAAACAGGGCTCAAACACTGATGCTCTCCGAACAATGCCACATAGTAGAAATTTTGCTGCAGTGCCCGGGGAGCAGTTGATGGTTTGGTGCCTTGCTCAAGGGCACCTCAGTGGTGGATTTTGAAGGTGGTAGAGAGAGTGTTCATTCGCTCTCCTCATATAAAACTACTGAATGTACTGGATATTCAACCTACAACATTAGGGTTACGAGTCTAACTTTCTAACAATTAGGCTACAACTGCTTAGTTGCTAATTAGATGATTAGAAAACAATATATTTTATAGTCAACATGTTGGATGGATGAGAAACGGACAAGAATAAAGATCTGAACAACTCTGACAATAGTCAAATTGCTATGGCAAGGCAACGAGTCAGCATATCTCTGAAATGCAGTTGTGGGAGTTTTGTTTTAGGTTTCGTGCAACTAAAACCCATCATTGCTATTCCAAGGCTATATCCTTTGTGCCAACAGAAGGTCTATTGTGGCACAATACACAAAATATAAATATAATGATGGATTTAGGAGGATATGGGACTGCATAGCCATAGTCCAGTCAGAGTGTTAATGATGGCCGCTATTCACAACAAAAGCAGCTATAATGGGCACGCAATTGTTGCCATTGGAAGGTTGCCTGGTCTGACAAGTCCCATTTACTTCTACATCACATAGACAGATGTCTATGTGTGCACCATTTATTTGGGTAAGTGATGGCACTAGTATACACTGTGGGATAAGGACAAGCCTGTCCAGTCATTCCAGTGAACATAGATGTGACATGTGTTACCTACTTAAACACTAGTACACCTCCTTATGACAATAGTTTA